CCGCAGGGAAAGGGGCCTCTTGCCGAATGGCGTGGCTGCTGCGGCTGGCACCAGGGACACTCGGCGCTGCGAGCCCTCTTGCGGCTTCTCTTCCCTGGCTCCCCGTTCTCCTTTCTGGGAGGGCTTTTGCTCCTCTTTGCTTCGGCCACAGTCTGCAAATCAAAAAATCGTTATCAATGTCTCCATCCTCTCAGAAAGCTGGAAATCAGAACATCCAGCACAAAAATCTATCAGTCTCAGAAAATTCCTCCAAACCCCAAAGAGCTGAGAAAACGACGCAGCACTTTCAGGAAAATACTCCTCCTTTCTACAGCCCAAAGAGGTTGCATAAATACGTGGGTATCAATAGTTCTACAATTCTGATTTATACCGCACTGCCTAACATCTTTTTAGCTCTATTTTTCCTCCACAAATGTCTAGGGAATGGGTCAAATTAAATTCAGGCAAATTAGTGAAGACACATGGTTACCCATTTTCTACTACCCAAAATTATTTTCCTCTTTCTATTTCTCTCTCTCTCTCTCTCTCTCTCTCTCTGAACCAAATTGCTGCTTGCCAGTAAGGAAAGTTTAATGGAGCCACATCATCGGCAGCTCCTTCTTTGGGAGAATGCTGGGATGCCACCAAAAAAATCCCTGAAAATCTCCAGCATCTCCATGAATGCAGCCCAGATTACAGATGTTAGCAAGCAACGGGGAATGAAGGATCTGATTGGAATCAGCGAGGGTGCCAGCCTTTGAGAAACCAATCTATAGAGAGTCAAAGCCCAGTTTGGTGATAGTGCTGCTTTGTTGGGTCAAAGTTATGCTCCAGGATTTCAGGGCAGCAGCACCATGAAGCCTTGGGCAGCATCTGCTGTGCCTTTCCCAGTGCATGGGACAATGTGATCCTGGCAAAAGGGCATCTCGCATGGCTCGCCAGCAGGTTTTTTCCCCTCCTTCCATTTTCTTGACCTTCCTGGTATGTCTGGATCTCCTTCCCACTCACCTGAGCACGAATGCTGACTAGTTTATGCTCTTTTTTCAAGGAGTAGTAGTACTCCACACACTGTGCCACGGTCTTACTCTGAATCTGTTGTGAAGAGAAAAAGAAGGAATCTAAATATGGCCATCCTGTAGGGTGCACTGGAGAAAAAGTAGAGTGTGGAATAAACCAGGAAGTAAAATCATGGAGTAAATCGAGTAAGGTGTAAAATGAGATGAATATGGAGTAAGAGAGGCACTATGCACTGTAGTAAACCCTGTATTATGCTACATGGTAAGAGATACAATGTGCAGATCAAAGCCAAATCCATCTAGCATAGTTCTTCTTTCCCCTGTTCACTCCAGTTATCCCAGCATTGTGTGTTGTGGAAGCACCGGCAAACCTATGAGACAAGTCTGACAGAAGAAAACCTTCATCTTCCAAAACAGTTTGGAGAAAAGGGCTGGAGAGGCAGGATCATAATTTTCACATAGGCCTTCGATGTCCCATTTCATTCCTACTTTAACATTTTGGGTACTTGAGAAGAGAGAGACTGAATTCCAGCATTTGGTATCAGAAATAAGGAGCATTTCCTTCTGATCATCTGCTGGATTAAAGAATGTCCTGTGGCTTTACCTGCTTCTGGATGAGATGAAAATCCTTGCCATAGGTGTGGAAAGCCTTTCGGAAGGACTCCTTCTCCTCAGGTGTCCATCTATCAGAGCCTGGCAATAAAAAGCAGCAGGTAAATTGATCCCTCTCTCCACTTGAAGTAGATCCCATTGGCTGCCAAAACAAAATCAGCGCCATCCATCAATCACCTGTGTACATGTCTGCCCTCTCAGAAGGTAATGAAGACAAGAGCAGGCATTCCCCAGGGAAAAAAACATGGACAACAAGCTGAAGGAGTAGATGGTGGTGCTTTCCCTGCCCCCCTTATGCTGGCGTTACTCGTTTAAGCAGAAATGCTTGACAGGGCAATTAAGGGGACGGCAGCATCTGTCAGTGAACAAACAAGCTTTGCTTTGATTACCTGCGTAATGATATTCAGCCAAGGGATGGCCTTGAGGCACTAGTAGCCCCCCTGAGAACAACATCTCCAGAGCCTCCTGCAAGATCAATGGGAAAAAGGCTCTAGCTGCCCCACAACATAAAAAAGGAGCCAGAAAAGAGAAATGCTGCCTTTCGGCTACTTTGCCTCTTCAGAGATTCCAGCCACTGCATCTCATATGGGTTAAACATTGTGGTTTGTTCCTAGTCCCTCATTTTTGCTGCCTATCCCTTTGATCCTGGTCCCCAGGAGTGGCATTTTGCTGACCAACTCAATGATTTTGATCCTCCTGCACTCAGAATTGCCTCAGCTCACTGAGGCTTCTGGGAATTTCCCCTCTATGCACCTCAAAATGTCTTAGAGAACACTGATCTCCAGGAGATTTGCAAGGGAGCAGGCTGCAGGACCCTCTGTCAGTGCCTCCAGGAGAGACATTCTCCCTGCTCGAGCCCTTTGGGCTCACCCCTGACGCAGCTGGAGGAGACACAGCAGGCAGCAAAAGTGCTCTGCTTCTTGTCAACTCCCTGCTTCAAAAGCAGCCAGGAAAGGCTGTCCCAGTGCCCGGGCCTTATTAATTCCCTGTCCACTCTTCTCTGCAGCCAAACAGCCACTTCTTACCGAAATGCTGCCGCGTGCCTGGTGCAGGCAGTGCAGGGCGAGCTCCAGCTTAGCTGCTGCCCCGGGCATGCCACGGGAGCTGGCCATGTCCAACAGTTCTCTTACTGCAAGCAATACAAAAGCCCACTGAAAGTCAGGCTTGAGCCGAGAAAGGGGAAAGGTTGCCATACGAGGCAGAAGGAAAGCACAAGAGCTCAAGGCAACAGGTTGGAGAGCATGAAAAGGAGAGCAAAGAAAGGGGTAGGTGAACTAAGGGTCCACACAGTGCTGGCCCTCCCTTCAAAGCAGCTTTTGTAATAAGAAGTGGGGGCCAATCTCCCCCCTTCCAGTGGCAAATGCCTCTGACCAATTTGGAGAGCAGGACGGCTGCTCTTCTTCCTGCTCTGCTGCAAAAGCATCCTCCTTGCCTCTAGCCCTCACATGAGGGAAGATGGGCAAGACAAGGAGAGAAGCAGAGCCTGTAAAAAACAGACTTTTCACCCAAAAAGGAGATTTTACACACCCGAGTATCTCAGGGGTGGAAAAAAATCTTGACAGCTATCTCTGTCCGATTTCTCCATGTCAGAGTCATCTTCCTCCCAGGGCTTCCAGACCAGGGTTGCACGCTCTTCATCTTCACTTGGCGGTCTGGTCTGCAGCTCAGGGAGCTCAGCCTGAAAGTCACTGCCAACATTGATGTGCCTTAAGGAAGAAGGAGGTGGCAAGAAGAGTAAGAAAGGCAAATGGTCAAGAGACACCTCCAGTGGACCCACAGGCTTCAACCAATCCCAGCCTGACTCTGAAATAGCAGTTCTCCTCCTCGCCATTCCTCAAGTTTGCTGTCCTTTAACCCCCTTTGCCAAAACTCACGGCTTAATGTTGGCTCTTGCTTTCCTTTCCATTGTGCCTCTCCTTTCCACCTGAAAGAGATCAAAACAATGCTCCAGATAAAAATCATTCTGCCAAGATGTGTCAGTAGCCCTCCTTCTCATCCTCATCATTGCAAACCACAAGCTCCGCTGTCCCAGCTCCCCTCAGCTGGGTGTAATTGCTGCCTTTTTCACTTGGAATTTACAAGGCAGGACCTTCTAGCAGTCTGCAGCTTCCCCAAGAGGGGAAGCAGAAGGCCATGCACTACTCCCTTCAGTCCAGGGACCAGTGAGAAGACCCAAGAGAATGGCATGGAAGATGTGCCAGTGGAAATAAGGAAAAGGTTCCTCAGCCAGAGGAGGTTGGGCACTGGAACAGCCTCCCCAGGGAAGCTGTCCCAGTGCCCAACAAGATGGAGAGAACTCAAAAAGTGCCTGGGCACTGCTCTTGGGCACAGGGTGTGGCACTCGAGGCCATCCTGGGCAGGCCCAGGAGCTGGGCTTAATGATCTTTGTGAGTCCCTTCCAACCCAGAAAATGCTGTGATACTGTGATTGTGTTCTTGAGAAGGACCACTCCAGATGGCATTCCATGGCTGCCTCTGACCGGGAGGCGCCTACAGGCATTGGAAAACATGGACAAACCTACACCAATATCTCCACAGAAAAGAGATCCAATGCAAGTGGGGAGAAAAAGACTTATAAAGATATTAAATGATACTGTTTCTTTATATGATGCAAGTATGTAAGTATATAAGACTCGCTGAAACCAGATCATTTTTGTAGGTGAACGCCAGGATTGAAGGGCAAGCCTGGCAAGCTGCTTCCATGCCCTGAATGACAGGGATCACAGAGGAGAGGTCCCATCCTTCTGGGTTTTAAAGCTTTGGAGGAGGCGTGAGCAGAGTCAGGGCGCAAGAGGATTTGTTGCCACAGAACCCCTGACCTCCTCAGTAATATTTTGGGGCGAGCACAACATAGGTTTAGCATTTAAATGGGCACCAAGAACTTTTCATCAGGTCACTAGTGGATGCGAATCTGCAAGTGCATGGTGACAGCTCTCTACATCCTCTATGGAAAGGTCTGTATTTCCACTGGAGGCAACATTATTCCTACAGAAGTTGGAATAACACTTTCATGTGTAACCGTGTCTGGGGAAAGTAGCACAGACTATGTCTGTCGTGGTTGGTGGGACAGCCAACTGGATCCTCCTGCCATTCTCTTAGTGGTTTGAGGGCAAATGGGGATTTTCTTACCTTTGACAGTCCCAAAGTGCCCTGGGGATGCCTGGCAGCAGACAAGGAGATGAGGATGCAGATCCAGAGGCCAGATCTGACGCTGAGAGCAGAAGGCGGCTGGTCAGGGACAGCCCAGGAGCAGATCCTGCAGCTGCTTCTCCACCGCTGCTCCACCAGTGTTCCACCAACGGCCGCAGGAGCAGGAGACAACGACAGTTGCTACGGGCACAGCCCAACATTCCATGCAGAACCCCAGGGGACCGGGGGGGGCCGGGGGGGGGGGGGGCAGAAACAGCAAAGGGCCACCTTTGCCTCTGTTACTCCTTCTGCTGCAAGTTTGCTCTGAGGACCTTCCCACTGGGGCATTTCTCATCAGTCCTCTGCGCAGGGAAAAGCAGTGCAGGGACAGCTCTGGGTCTTCTCCGTGCTTCTCTGCGAGGTGCCTCCAGCGGAACATGCGCAGGAGCCTGGCTCTCTCAAGCCACGCTGCCTGCACTGGAGAACCAGAAGGACTGCTACTGCCTCTGAACCAGAAGGCTCTCCTCCGGCTCTGACAGGAGCAAGAGCTTACAAGGTCAGAGAAGAGAAGAACTTCTCTCAACCAACTCAGTGGAGAACCAACTCCAAAGCCCTGACCTCCTTTCTCAATTGCCTGGTGCCCAAGAATATCACTTGGTGTTTTCCCTCTCTTCCTTCAACACTCCTTCCTTGAAACTTGGAGAAACAGGATATTTCCAGGGGAACTCATGGGAGCACACACACAGAGACAAGCCACCAGCATTTTTCTGTAGCAAACATTAATGAAGAATTTCTAGGCCTGTCTTCCAGCTCCCTTGAAGAAGTTAGGTGTTCGTCTCCAGACTCTGGGATTCCTCTAAACCACTAACACAAACAGAATTGCTTTTCCGCAAGACAATGGCCTTCACGTTTGTTTTAATACTTAGGCCCCACATATGACAAAACCCAGCCAGTTTTACTGCTTTCCTGCCTCATGTTAAGCAAGAGCAAATCTTGCTTCCTTCCCACCCTGCGTGTTACACACACACCAACAACGAGTCAGATATTCACTCATTTGCTGCAAACGAGTGAAATACCAATCTCCACTGGTCACATGTTCCAGCAAACGAGTGAAACACCAAGCTCACTCTTCACTGGTCACATTGCTCTCTCAGTTTGAGAGAGCATTCTTCCGTTTCCTGTTCACAAAACGCTCTTCAGAATTGAAGAAGAATTTCCCTCAGCCTGAACACCTTCCCGTCTTTCTTGTAACCCGTCCCTCCCTGTGGATATTCTCAGTTCAGTCAGAGGGAAAAAGAGAAATATTTTCCCAGGCTTAGCCCGGCAGAAATCTTTCTCTTTTTCCTTCTGACTGAACATAGACTATCCAGATCTCCCCATCTTTCTTATAGGCTTCCTTCAGGTACTGGAAGGCACCAATTAGCTGACCCCAAAGCCTTCTCTTCTCCAGGATGAACAATTCCAATTCTCTCCATTTTCTTCACTGCAGAAGTGCTCCATCCCTCTTATCATCTTCATGCCTCTTCTCTGGACTTCGTAATTAATAGTTCATGAAATACGCATAACTATTACTTTTTAGTACAAGAGTCATTTAGAATGATTAAACTAATATCTAATTTTTCATTTATTGATATTGCTTCTATTCTAATTGTTCCTATCTTGATTTTATTTGTGGTTGCAGAGAGACTTGTTTATTTATTGAAATAAAGGTGTTGTAAGAATGTATTCATAGGACACTTTCTTGCTTTTTACCAAAAAATATATTAATCATTCATAAGCGTGAAGTCTCTGATTCTTTATATACAAAATCTATTGTTTATATACTGTTGTTTAGCTATTAAATCTATTGTTTATATATTCAATCTAATGCATGCCTTTGAAAGTATCTAAGGTATATAAGTTCCTACTGTATTATTATATAGTGGTTTTTCTAAATAAAGGCTTTTTGCTTACCTTTCTGTGATTCCTTGCTTTAAAAACACCTGTGCCACCTTGAATACAAATGCAATTACATTACACCTACTTGTAATCTCTTAGACATTAATTATGAAATGCATAAATCAGAAATTTATTTTGAAAAATCATTGCAGTTGTGCTGCTGGGAGTTTCCAAAGATGGAAAGCTTATTCCAAGCCATTTAATACTCCATTACCACAGAAGTGTAGAGATGGGAGGTAGGCTCTGGCACTAGTACTGTCCATGGTTCTGTGTCAAATACAAAGGATTTTGAGATATCTGTATCATTCTGGAACGTGTGATTTTCATCACATTCTGGACTTGTGGTTTTCAGCTCTAGAAATATTACTTCCCAGTGATCCATTTTGGTTTTGTGTTCACAGATACTCGGGTGCTCCTGACAAGTGGCCACAGGAGAAGGCAGGGAGATGAGCCTAGTCTACACTGACAGTGAAGCAGAAGTAGAATGCTCATTAACATCTGGGGGAAGGAGATCCTCCGAGATGAACTGTGATCAGGTGCTTGAGCCACAGATGCCTGTAGGTGTTCTAGCTAGCAGGGAGACACACATGGTTACCTTCCTCCCCGTGTCATTGCCATGTCAAACCAGTGATGCCATCTAAATACTAAAAACCAGGTTTCAGTCACAGAAAAATAGAATCATAGAATGTTACAGTTGGAAGGGACCAGCTAGTCCCAGCCTCCCCAGCCACGGGCAGGGGCACTTCCCTATCAATTCTTACCGCTCTTCCCACTTTGGCATCAGATGATAATGTTTCAAAGGACAATTTCCATGCTTCATTCTGCAGTGTCCTGAGTCTCTTCCACTTTGTGACCACTCTGTGCTCCTAGAGCTGAGTCTGTATATCCTGTATTATCCACACTTTCACTTTACTGGCTCACACTAGAAAATTAACAGTAAGTTTCATCTCCATTTTTACTCAGTCTAGCACAAGATCTAATTCTGGGATAGAGATGTGAGCCAGACTCCATTGCATACACCCCTTCAGCATTGTCTTTTAAAAATTACTGAAGAATGTGCTTTGTGGTTTGGAGAGATTGCTGCAGTGAATGGTTTAGCATGCAGAATGGGCTTGAAATATCGTATCTGCTCACAGAGCCAGTGGTCCTCTAAGTCATCTAGATTAATACAACCAAAAATAGACTGTTCTGTGATATTGTTATCTAAACAATGTACTCTTCAATATCAAAGAGTAGTCAAAATGATCATCAGCAAAATTCCTTTCATAAAAATATAGCAGTAATTAAAACAATACCTTGAGGAGCATTATGTCATTATCAAAGGGAGGCGGGTCAAACTGACAATGTGGAAGGGTTTCCATAATCCCAAATATCCGCTGTTCTTCTTCAGGAATGAATGTCCGATGAACTCCAAGAACAACTGTTTTCCAATTCATCTATTCTGTAACTTATAGATAATATAGGAAGAGAAAGTCACTACAGGAACTGAGCAACATCTCTGAGGATAATCAAAAGACACGTAACACAATAACATTTCATTTTACAACAACGTGATTAAAACATAGCCGGAAATCATTAATTTCAATTTTTGACATGAGCTTCTTTTTGCCTCTATAAAATAATGTTTCTTTACTGCAAATATAGTCAGTGAAATAATTGTGGGACTGATATCCAGAGATTTTAGGAGTTTGGAATTAATTTTGTGAAAGAGCCTCCCATCTTTATAAGGGGAGTTGTTTGCACAAGGACAGCTGCTACTGGTGCCTTTCATCAGTAAATCCAAAGGTCTCCTTTGGATTTATGACCTAATCCTGCAAAGGCCTAAAACTTTGCTGACATAAGTAGCACGTCAGAAACACATCAATACTCAGTGCTTATCCTGAGCATTATGCATACAGGTAAATGCTCTGCTAAAGTGAGTGTCTTTAATATTAATAAACATTTTGTCCTTAATTTTCTAAACACAGGATTCAGCATATTAAGGAAGAAGGATGTGTGTGCCTAATCACATCCCAGTAGTGAATATTAAAAAAAAAAAAAGGAGGAGAATGTTAAAATTCAAAGAATTATGCATTCACTTCCTGCTAAAAAACATCAATAGTTAAGCAACCAATAAATTCTGCTACATTCCAAGCTCTGTAGGTATCACCACAAATGTATTATTAACAATTGTCTTTTTTCATTTTGTTATCAGAGCATGTTATCCACAGGATCAGAGACAGACAGTGCCCTTTCCACTGAACAGCTAGCAAATCTGAATTTTTATCAATATATCTGACTGGCTATCTCTGACATATTGACTGAAGAATAAGAGACTCCAGATCCCATTAAAAAGTCCCTTAATTCCAAAAAGGAATACTTGGTTATGTTTTGTAAATTTGCTAAACAGAGAATGCTAGGAATTAATATTTCTACCCTTACAACCAAATCTGACTCAGCTGAAAAATAATGAAATAGTGAAATTCAAATTCACTTAGAAAGAGCTCTGTTTCAGGCTAACTCACAGAATAAGTCTGGCCAACCTGCCCACACTGTGTTTAAGGAGGCCAAGTTTCCACAGGCTTATTGTAACTGTTTTCCTTTTAGGTAGTCAAAATAAGAAGGAAAAACTGCAGAACTGAAATACAATTCAGGGATCGCTTTAAGAAAAATAGGGCATTTTACTTCCTAATGTGAAAAGCAGATGTCCCCCTTACCTTGAGTCAGCTGTTCTACAGCAGAACGTCCCACCTGGGGAAGAGGTGTTTCTGCTCAAATTTAACTTGTCAAAAGGACAAGGTTCCTTGTCATAGTCATGAGTGACATTCTGGGTTTATGAGCCTGGGTCACTTAAAATGAGAGGAATAGTGTCCACATCTAATTCAAATTCATCCCTCAGGGTATTTTGAAGCTTAGTTCCAAGAACACACGTAAGATTTGTTGAAAATCCTTGGGACATATTCCCTTCTCTAAGACATTGCTTTCTCACATGCATAAAGAATTAGTTTGGTCTTTTATCAGTGCAGTACTTATACAGTAACTTTGGCATGATCTCACTAACAAAGGTAACTCTGCAATGCACTTTAGTAGTTTATAGCAACTGAAAACAATGGCAAGTTCTAGGATCATCCCAGGGAGAGAATTGCAGCTTTTAACAACCTATCAAAAAAATCAATACTCACCTTTCTTCATTTAGAGTCTTGCATACCATGCCTCACTTCAATGAAGAATTAAAATTGCCACATTTTAAGATACTTACTCACAAGATGTTGCTGTCAAAACCCATTGTTTTTCCACAAGAGTTCGTCCACAAAAAGCACCTAAATTCTTGTAGATAGCAGCCATATAATGCCAGGAATGAGGATGCACTTCATGTCCTCCAAGAATGTCCTTGCAACCTCAAGTGCAATTATATTATGCGGCATCCAGAGGAGCTAGGAATTTTGATATTTTTACTCTTAGGTGAGTACTTGCATCTTGTTAGTAGGGTAACACAGTTAAAGAGAGGAAGAGAGCTGAACAGTTTTCAGGTGTTGTGGCTGCTGTTATTTGCTGTCAGGAGCACTGTAAATTGCCATGCACTCATTTGTATTCAAATGTCCCCTATAGGAAGTGTGTTTGAAGGTTTTTACTAATAGCTCCCTCTCTTGAAATTTCCCTTTACATCGTTAATATTGTGTTATTTTACTGAAGATTGATTTCTCTAGGTTCTCTCTTCCAGTTTCTTTAAAACCTCTGATTCTTGAAACTCCTAATAAAACCCAAATAAAGCTTAATCCCTGAATAACACCTAGATGTCTCAGGGTATTCAATGCACATTTGGGCTTCAAATGAAAAAAAAAAAAAAAGAAAAAAAATTGAGAAGAATTAAACTGGCCATCCTTAAGCTGGTGGTGAAAAAAAATGGGAGAATGAATGTAAGGGCAACCTGAAAAGGCTTCAGAGAACACCAGTGTGATGAAATAATTAGGACATGTAGAGTTCAAAAGATGTTCATAATCTATGGATCCAGATTGAGTAAACTTGGGGCACATAAAGTACAAAAGTCACTCCTGTGGACCAAGGTACATCAGTAGCCAGCAATTGCTCCACAGAATTCCACTGCCCAAGTAACATCTTCAGTTGAAAGACTGAAAAATATTCATATGTAAATTAACGAGAGATGTCAAACACCTGTTATTTTATAAGCTAAGGAATATAGGATATAAAAGACAAGCCAAGACCAGCCATTCACATGTAAAACAAAGCAATTTATATTTTGTTAAAAATAATTCTGGGAGGTGCAGCTTTCAGATACAGAAAACCCCAGACTCTGAAACTGCCAAATGCAAAACAAAATCTAATCTGTGGTCACACAAAAAAGATAGATTGGTGAGAAAGACATTTCTATATTGTAGACCTCTGTGTCTGCATGCATGTCTTGCAAACCTTGCTGGTAAACCACTACAAAAAAACCCAGTCTGCCCTTTTGTGAAGAAGTTACAAAACTTGCTACCATATCCATTAGTTTTAGAAATAATATGAATAAATCTGCCCAATATAATTAGGTCTCATTTTTATTCAAGAATTACAGAATGGCCAGTCTCAGTCTCGATCTCATTGTTGAATAAGATTGTAACATAAAAAATGTTTATTTCTGTGTTACAGAATCTTATTAGTTAGAACCCAGTTTCGAAACATGCACATGGTGCAGCACAATTCCTGTTTCAGAAGACTCTTCCAAAGATTTTTTAAAAGAAAAAAGATTACTATTAGTATTCATCAGCTCTTAAAACAGCCAGCTCCAGTTCCTCCAAAATCATTCTCCATTCTCCATCTAATCCCAGAATTATTCACCCACTGGAGACTATCCACAGATAATCTCTTCAAAGAGAGTCTTAAAGGCATAATTATGTTTGTCTTTTATGGCTTTGCCTTCCCAATAAATAGCTGGATTCAAAAGCAGCATAAGAGACAGAATAGGAAACAGATTCATGCTCTGGCCAAACAGAAGGTTTGTTTTCCCAGAGCATAATATCTAATGATGGATTCTTTCTGCCAAGTACTAGCAACATCATAGAAGGAATGGTGATTTGCTGCAAGGCTTTGAGGACTCCTTGAGTTTACTACATCTACTTGTATTTCTTTGCTACAACATTTTCCACTGATATCACGTAGCAAATAAATGGAAACGGGGACACTGAGGGAATAGCTGAGGCAGAAAAGACAGCTAGCTAAGTACCATGTGATGACAACTAGCTAAGTACCATGAAGCAGTGGTACCAGAGAAGAAAAAAAAATATGTATGCCCCAGCATATATTCTGCTCTTTCCCCAGCAAGTCCCTGGGAATCTGTCTCCCAGCCACTAAGACATGTATTCAGACACACTGGAGTGGGACTGGGGGTGGGACAGCCCAAGCTGCAGACAGGAATAGCATGGCAGCTCTGCCTTTCTGTGCTCCTGGCAGCTGTCAGCTCTGCACTTCTGTCCTTCCCTGCCTTTCTCAGCCCAAGAAAACAGCCCTTCAGCTGAGCCAAGACTGCCTGAACTCAGCACCAGCAAACCTGGAGGGTTTAGAGTCACAGTTTAAATTGGTCTCCTGAACCAGTGTCCTAAAACCACATTTGATGCTCAAACTCAGGCACCAAAGAAAGCAGCATGAAGGAAGAAGGAACAAAGTCACTGCGGAAGGAAAATGGTCAAAATGACAGAATATAAGATAAGGGATAGAAGACCTCAGCACAGATCTGAAAGTGATCCACTGACCCATTTGCCTGAAGCTCATAGGAAACCTCCCCAAAGGCAGAGGTTGGACATAGAACTGCGTACACACCTTGTTCTTTTACTCAGGCAGTACCTTCTGCTGAGGGAGTGGCTCTGCTTTGTGAGCGCTGTAGGGAGAAAGGATGGAGTGTTTTGCTTACAATGCCTCACTCCTCTTGAAGAACAAGTGGATAAGCAACAGATGAGCTAATAAAAGAATTTTAGAGAAGGAAGCTTTGCTTTGGGGTTTCCCTTTAAATGCATAAGGCAAACAGAATCTAAACTTCACCAGAAATTAACTTATTTCCATAACCAAAGGAGCCCAGCCAACTAATTGCTCTTGAGAAGGAAGCTTTGCTTTGGGGTTTCCCTTTAAATGCATAAGGCAAACAGAATCTAAACTTCACCAGAAATTAACTTATTTCCATAACCAAAGGAGCCCAGCCAACTAATTGCTCATCCTAAAATTTTATGTCAAATTTTCAGTCTCAATGATGGAAATTACAAGAGGAAGAAAACTCTCTGACAAAGCACTTGGGTACAAGATTGGTACTGGTTATGTGCATATCAGTCTGATCTTTAATACCCATGCCGTTGGGGATTTTGCAGATTGTCAGAGAGGTTGTTCAGGAGCTTGCACAGAAAGTCATCAATTGATACTGAACAATAGTTTAGACTCCATATTTCTAATTCTAATTATCAATGCCAATGGATCTCTCAAAATTGGAGGGGATTTTTGAAGAAGCATGGATATGCTAGTACCTATGGAGTCTCAGAAGAAACACCTTTAGAAGTATGATTTAGAAGTAAATAGACATACAACTAGCAATTGAAAAAAAATTATAAACAGACCGTA